ACCCCACCGTTGACTCATCCTGCAGTTATGTACATTCAGGAGCTCTTCCTTCTAAAGGCTTATTCTTTTTGCTGACATTCGGAACACTTGGAAGACTGTATTGTAAAAACTTCCTGGTTAGTTTTTAGCTATTTGTCTTTAGTTAACAGCAGGTTTGTCAGTTTCCTGTTGTCTGTCTTTATTTTTTGCATGTGAATATATGTTCCTTTATTTTTTAACATTGCATCATATATATATATATATATTTTTTTTTTGAGTTGGAGTTTCACTCTTGTTGCCCAGGCTGGAGTGCAATGGTGCAATCTCAGCTCACCGCAACCTGTGCCTCCCAGGTTCAAGCGATTCTCCTGCCTCAGCCTCCCAAGTAGCTGAGATTACAGGCGCATGCCACCATGCCTGGCTAATTTTGTATTTTTAGTAGAGACGGGGTTTCTCCATGTTGGTCAGGCTGGTCTCGAACTCCTAACCTCAGGTGATCCGCCTGCCTTGGCCTCCCAAAGTGCTGGGATTACAGGCGGGAGCCACCGCACCCAGCCATTGCACCATATATTGTGTAGGAAATATTTAAAAGTAAAATTTGGGGGCCAGGTGCGGTGGCTCATGCCTGTAATCCCAGGACTTTGTGAGGCTAAGGTGGGTGGATCACCTGCGGTTGGGAGTTCGAGACCAGCCTGGCCAACATGGCAAAACCCCATCTCTACTAAAAATACAAAAATGAGCTGGGCATGGTGGTGCACACCTGTAATCCCAGCTACTTGGGAGGCTGAGGCATGAGAATCACTTGAACCCAGGAGGTGGAGGTTGCAGTGAGCCGAGATCATGCTTCTGCATGACTGGGAAACAGAACGAGACTCCATCTCAAAAAAATAAACAAAAATAAAAGTAAATTTTTTGGAGCAATTTCAATCTTTGGTACTGAGGTACTGAGGTTTAGGGTATGACTGAACCCATCATCCAGGTAGTGAGCATCACACCTGACAGGTAGTTTTTTAGCCCTTGCCCCACTCCTTCTCTCCCGTCTCTAGTAGTCCCCGGTGTCTACTGTTCCCATCTTCGTGTTCATGTGGACTCAGTGTTTAGCTCCCACTTATAAGAGAACAGGCAATGTTTGGTTTTCTGTTTCTGTCTTTCTTTTTGTTTTTTGTTTGTTTGTTTGTTTGTCCTTGTTTTGAGACAGAGTTTTGCTCTTGTTGGCCAGGCTGGAGTGCAATGGCATGGTCTCTGCTTACTGCAACCTCTGCCTCCTGGGTTCAAGTGATCCATCCACCTTAGCCTCCCGAAGTGCTGGGATTACAGGCGTGAGCCACCACGCCTGGCCTCTGTTTGTGTCTTAGTTGGCTTGGGATAATGGCCTCCAGTTCTATCCATGTTGCTGTAAAGGACATGATTTCATTCTTTTTCTATGGCTGCATAGTATTCCATGATGTACATGTACCACATTTTCTTTATCCAGTGCACCACTGATGGACACTTGGGTTGATTCCATGTTTTTGCTATTGTGAACAGAGCTGTAATGAACATATGAGTCCTCTTGGTAGAAAAATGTATTTTCCTCTGGGTATATAACCAGAAGTGGTATTGCTGGGTTGAATGGTAGTTCATCACTTAGTTCTTTTTTTTTCTGAGACAGAGTCTCCCTCTGTCGCCAGGCTGGAGGGCAGTGATGCAATCTCAGCTCACTGAAACCTCCGCTTCCCGGATTCAAGTGATTCTCCTGCCTCGGCCTCCTGAGTAGCTGAGACTACAGGTGTGTGCCATCACGCCCGGCTAATTTTTGTATTTTTGGTAGAGATGGAGTTTCACCATATTGGCCAGGCTGGCCTCTATCTCCTGGCCTCATGATCCACCCGCCTTGACCTCCCAAAGTGCTGGGATTACAGGCATGAGCCACCACACCTGGCCCATAACTTAGCTCTTTCAGAAATCTTCAAACTGCTCTCCACATTGGCTGGACTAATTTATATTCCTACCAACAGTGTATAAGTGGCTGGGCAGAGCTGCAACACTCTGCCTGGTAATTCCTTTTAAAGTTGGATTGAGTTTTCTGTAAGCCTGGATGGCTATTCTGGATCTGAATGCCACCTGTAGGCACCTGGAGGTGCTGTTTTCTCTTAGTTTCCATTGTTCTTTACTCACACCTCTGCAGATACATGTACGACATGCTGTAGATTTTTACTTCCATTTCTGACGGTTCCCCAGTGCATGTAGCCATCAATCATTACCATCATTAGCACTGACCAAAGCCAAATAATTGAATTAATAACAGTAAGTGTCCCATCTTGTCAATAAGTTTTTTGTTTTTTTTTTTTGTAACAGGAGCCTCATTACTTGGCCATGAGTGATAAGGACAGAGTTAGAGTGCTTAACCTTCATATCAATCTGGCCATGCAAATGTATTCATTAATAGATGTTTAATTAATAGTTCCCTCTAGATTAGGATTGCTTGTTTTTTGCAGCAATGTGGTCCTTTTGCTTCTCTTTACTGCTGCATCTGTTGCAAAGCAAACAATCACTGCCAGCCGTGGTGGCTCACACCCGTAATCCCAGCATTTTGGGAGACTGAGACAGGCGGATCACCTGAGGTCAGGAGTTCGAGACCAGTCTGGCCCACATGGTGAAACTCCATCTCTACCAAAAATACAAAAATTAGCCAGGCGTGGTGTCGGGTGCCTGTAATCCCAGCTACTTAGCAGGCTGAGGCAGGTGAATTGCTTGAACCCAGGAGGCAGAGGTTGCAGTGAGCCAAGATTGTACTATTGTACTCCAACCTGGGTGACAAGCGAGAGTGAAACTTCATTTCAAAAAAACCAAACCAAACCAAAACAAAACAAACAACAACAAAAAAACAATCACGGCCGGGCACGGTGGCTCACGCCTGTAATCCCAGCACTTTGGGAGGCCAAGGCGTGCGGATCACGAGTCAGGATTTTGAGACCAGCCTGGCCAACACAGTGACAGTGCAGTGGCACGATCTCGGCTCACTGCAACCTCCGCCTCCCAGGTTCAACCGATTCTCCTGCCTCAGCCCCTCAAGTAGCTGGGATTACAGGTGTGCACCACCACGCCCGGGTGATTTTTGTATTTTTTAGTAGAGACAGGGTTTTACCATATTGGTCAGGCTGGTCTCGAACTACTGACCTCAGGTGATCCACCCACCTCTGTGTCCTAAAGTGCTAGGATTACAGGCATGAGCCACCACATCCGGCCCATTATCACACAATTTTGTACTTACATAATGCTTTCCAGCGTTCAGAGAACTTTCATATTCATTATCTTGCATGATTCCATCACTACAACACTGTTGGCTAGTACAGTCAATTATGCCATCTCCGTTTTATAAATTCATTCATTCAACATTATTTATCGAAGACTGTTATGCACCAGGCATTGCTATGTCCTGAACATTCAAAGATGGAAACTCATGGTCCCTACTCTTACATTAACAAAAGGTATCTTTGGAAGTATGTGTTGTTGTTGTTGTTGTTTGAGACGGCCAGGCTGGAGTACAGTGGTGCCATCTTGGCTCACTGCAACCTCCGCCTCCAAGATTCAAGCAATTCTCCTGCCTCAGCCTCCCCAGTAGCTGAGATTACCGGCGCCTGCCACTACGCCCGCTAATGTTTGTATTTTTGGTAGAGATGGAGTTTCACCATGTTGGTCAGGCTCCTCTCGAACTCCTGACCTCAAGTGATCCACCCACTCCACCTCCCAAAGTGCTGGGATTTCAGGCATGAGCCACCGTGCCCAGTCAGGCGTATGTTTTTAAGGGACATTTTACTTTTACTTTTTACACTTCATTTGAATTTTTTTTTTTTTTTTTTTTGAGACGGAGTCTGGCTCTGTCGCCCAAGCTGGAGTGCAGTGGCCGGATCTCAGCTCACTGCAAGCTCCGCCTCCCGGGTTTACGCCATTCTCCTGCCTCAGCCTCCCCAGTAGCTGGGACTACAGGCGCCCACCACCGCGCCCGGCTAGTTTTTTGTATTTTTTAGTAGAGACAGGGTTTCACCGTGTTAGCCAGGCTGGTCTCAACCTCCTGACCTCGTGATCCGCCCGTCTCAGTCTCCCAAAGTGCTGGGATTACAGGCTTCAGCCTCCGCGCCCGGCCTTTTTTTTTTTTTTTTTTTTTTTGAGATGGGTTTTGTTCTGTTGCCCAGGCTGGAGTATGGCGGCACAATCTCGGCTACTTGCAACCTCCACCTCCTGGGCCCAAGCGATCCTCTCACCTCAGCCTCCCAAGTAGGTGAGACTACAGGTGTGCACCACCACGCCCAGCTAGTTTTTCTGCAGTTTTTTTTTTTTTTTTTTTGAGACGGAGTCTCGCTCTGTCACCCAGGCTGGAGTGCAGTGGCCGGATCTCAGCTCACTGCAAGCTCCGCCTCCCGGGTTCACGCCATTCTCCTGCCTCCGCCTCCCGAGTAGCTGGGACTACAGGCGTCCGCCACCTCGCCCGGCTAGTTTTTTGTATTTTTTTTTTTTAGTAGAGACGGGGTTTCACCATGTTAACCAGGATGGTCTCGATCTCCTGACCTCGTGATCCGCCCGTCTCGGCCTCCCAAAGTGCTGGGATTACAGGCTTGAGCCACCGTGCCCGGCCGTTTTTCTGCAGTTTTTATTTTTTATTTTTATTTTTTTTTTGAGACGGAGTCTGGCTCTGTCGCCCAGGCTGGAGTGCAGTGGCTGGATCTCAGCTCACTGCAAGCTCCGCCTCCCGGGTTTGCGCCATTCTCCTGCCTCAGCCTCCCGAGTAGCTGGGACTACAGGCGCCCGCCACCTCGCCCGGCTATTTTTTTGTATTTTTTAGTAGAGACGGGGTTTCACTGTGTTAGCCAGGATGGTCTCGATCTCCTGACCTCGTGTTCCGCCCGTCTCGGCCTCCCAAAGTGCTGGGATTACAGGCTTGAGCCACCGCGCCCGGCCTTTTCTGCAGTTTTTAAAGAGACAGTCTCGCCATGCTGCCCAGACTGGTCTGAAACTCCTGAACTCAAGCGATCTGCCTGCCTTGGCCTCCCAAAGTGCTGGGGTTATAAGGTGTGAGTCACCATGCCGGTACAGAAGTGGCAGTTAAGCGGAGACAGAAAAAAAATGAGTAAAAGTTTGCCAAATGAGTGGAGAGAGAATTTCAAGCAGAGTAAGCGTGAATGAGCATGGTATATCCCGAAAGAACTACCTACTGTTCAGTGTTGCTTCACATGAAGTGAGGGGCAAATGATGTAAGTTAAGGTTGCTTAGGTAAGAAAGAGTCAAATAATGAAACAGAGATGTTCAGAATTTGCCCTATAGGTGTAAAATTACCTCCACGAAGAATTTTATGTTGGGGAGAAACATGGTCGGATTTGTCTCACACTGTTGGCAGTGTGTGTGATGGAAACTGATCATTCTCTAAAAGGCTAATGTGGTCAAGGCAATATTAATATCTGAATGCAGAACCTCTGAGCCCAGGTTTAGTGAGTTTTCTATTAAGCCATGTTGACTCCCCTATAAAGCAATAAAAGATTCCACTACTCACTGTATTGATTTGTTAGTGAAATTTAAACTCTTGACTAAGGGGATAAGAAACTATTTCATGTAATCACTAAGCAACCCAACCTTGTCTTTTATCCCTCTGGGGGGATATGCCTATTAAAAGGAACTCTTCTCTTGAATTTCGTCTCTTCATTTGAATGGAAGTGAACTTACGATTCATGAATGCTTCAGATATGTGACAGCATCATTTCCACTGAACAATTTGTTCCAGGGCTTATATACCCTTTATAAATTCATGCAATTTTTGTTCTAAGTTTAATTTCTATTGATACAGTGTAATCCCATTTTCTCCAGTTCATTTCCTAAGATTGCGTATCAAGTGCAAAGATGTGAGGACAGCAGCCTTTAGTAGGAGAGTTTGCTTCTTTCGTGAGACGATAACTCATCCTGGAGTGTTGAATCCCCTCTTTACTTCACACTCCAGTCCCCATCAGAGGGCTTCAGTTGGCCTCGTGTGCAGCAAGCCGGCCAGCACGGAATCTTCCACTTGGTGTGATAATGCTTTTGCTTCCAATGCTCCTCACCCCACCCGCCCATACCCCAGAGTCCATGCTGTGTGGCAGAAGAGAAGGGGAAGAGGGTCCTGCACTATCAGCACTCCCTTGGGTTTTAATCCCTAGAGCGCAATCCTATTAATCTGAAAGGACCTTATCATTAGCATTCCATGGGTTTCCCATCTCCTCAAACCTTCATGGCTGGTATGATCCTGTGTGATCATCAGAGCTTTACTCTGAATTCATCCTAGGGATGGTGTCATCATTCTGGCAAAATTCATGTCATTAAATGTCTCTTTGCCATCTGTGTTCCACTTCCTGCTTGCTCCTTTCTCTCCTGGGGCTAAGTTCAATTTTTTTACACTATTCCTAGCAACATGGTCTTCTTATTCATGCACGCACTGGTTCATGTATCCATTCTTTTTGAGTGCTTATTCTATGCCAACTACTGTGCTAGTTACTTGGGGCACAGTATTGAACAACACAGGTCCTTCCATCAGGAATCTTCTGCTCTAGTGACCCTGATATTGGGGGAGGGCGTTGTTAAAAGTAAAGAACAGCTTGTTGACTGAGACTGGGAGGAAATGAAAGCGTCTATAGTTGCCAACAGTGTAATTGATGCATCTTAAGTAAGAAGTTTAAACATATTTTAATGGTTATATATGAGCACGATTGCTATTTTCAATTTAATTAGAGGGAAGGCAATATGCCACCTCTTCACATATTGCACTACACTCCGTGAGAATGGGGCTATTTGTTTAAAAGTTAACATGATTCTTCAAAAAACTAAAAATAGAATTACCATATGATCCAGCAATTCCACTTCTGAGTATATATCCAAAAGAACTGAAAGCAGGATCTTGACGAGATATTTGTACACCCATGTTCATTGCAGTATTACTCCCAATTGGCAAGAGGTAGAAGCAGCCCAAATGTCTGTGAACACATGAAAGCATAAAGAGAATGTGGCATATACATACAATGGAATATTATTCAGCATTAGAAACAGAAGGACATCCTGCCACATGCTACAATATGGAGGAACCTTGCGAGTATTATGCTGAATGAATAAGCCAGTTATAAAGGGACAGATTCTGTAGGATTCTACTTATGTGAAATGTCTAGAGTGGAAATCCTGGACACAGAAAGTAGAATGATGGTTCCCTGGCACTGGCAGGAAGGAGAAATAAGGAGTTGTTTGATGCGTACAGAGTTTCAGTTTTGCAGGATGAAAAAGTTCCAGAGATCTGTTACACAACAATGTGAATACAGTTAACATTACTTAGTTCTACACTTACAAAATGGTTAAGTGAGTGAATTTTATATTACATGTGTTTGCCACAATTTTTTCTTTTTCTTTTCTTTCTTTCTTTCTTTCTTTTTTTTTTTTTTTTGAGACAGTGTCTCACTCTGTTGCCCAGGCCTGAGTGCAGTGGTGTGATCTCGGCTCACTGCAACCTCCGCCTCCTGGGTTCAAGCCATTCTCCTGCCGCAGCCTCCCAAGTAGCTGGGATTACAGGCACGTGCCACCACATCCAAGGCTAATTTTTGTATTTTTAGTAGATAAATGTTTCACCATGTTGGTCAGGCTGGTCTCAAACGCCTGGCCTCAAGTGATCTGCCCTCCTCAGCCTCCCAAAGTGCTGGGATTATAGGCGTGAGCCACCGTGCCCGGTCCGCAATTAAAAATAAATTTAAAAAAATACTTTAACTCCAGTACAGTGGCTGGAGCCTGTTATCCCAGCTATTCAGGAAGATTACTTGAAGCCAGAAGTTCATGATCACCCTGGGCAATATAGCAAGATCTTGTCACATACACACAAATGAAAGTTAACATGCTCAGGAGACTGAGGCAAGTGGATTGCTTGAGCCCAAGAGTTCAAAGCCAGCTTGGGCAATATAACAAGACCCTGTCTCTTAAGAAAAGTCAGGCCGTGCGCAGTGGCTCACGCCTGTAATCCCAGCATTTTGGGAGGCCGAGGCAGGCGGATCACCTGAGATCAGAGTTTGAGACTAGCCTGACCAACAAGGAGAAACCCGTCTCTACTAAAAATAAAAAATTAGCTGGGCGTGGTGGCACATGCCTGTAATCCCAGCTACTTGGGAGGCTGAGGCAGGAGAATCACTTGAACTCGGGAGGCAGAGGTTGAGGTGAGCCGAGGTCACGCCCCTGCATGATGTTGTTGCCTGGGCAACAACAGCGAAACTCCGTCTCAAAAGAAAAAGAAAGAAAGAAAGAAAAGTCAACATAGTTAATACAGAAGCAGCTGTGGGTATGGTAGAAAGGGTAGTGAAGTGGAATCAATTAGAAGGTCAGGGTTGCAGACCTGGCACTGCTAATTCCTAGCTGTGTGACGTAGGGCTTACATTTAACCTCTAAGCCTCCGTGTCCTCACTGGTAAAGTGAAGATCATGCCTCCTATTGCAAAGAGCTTTGCAAGGGTTAAATACAATGATGTGTGTGCAGGATGGCCAACACTAAAGCATGATTCAAAAGGAAGGCATGGTGATAACGATGGATTTCTCTATAACTCGGCTTTCCCACTGTCATGTCTGGCCATATCTGGGCATGGTGGGGCATTGAGGGACCAGCTCCAGCTTCTTCACTTTTCCATCCATCCTACTTTCTCCACATCAGGACATCAGGTTAGTTTATCAAGTTTAACTGCTGGCTGGCGTGGTGGCTCAAGCCTGTAATCCCAGCACTTTGGGAGGCCGAGGCAGGTAAGGTCAGGAGTTCAAGACCAGCCTGGCCAATATGGTGAAAGTCCATCTCTACTAAAAATACAAAAAATTAGCTGGGTGTAGTGGCGGGTGCCTGTAATCCCAGCTACTCGGGTGGCTGAGGCAGAAGAATCACTTGAACTTGGGAGGCGGAGGTTGCGGTGAGCCGAGATCGAGCCAGTGCATTCTAGCCCAGGTGACAGAGTGAGACTCCATCTCAAAAAAAAAAAAAGTTTAACTGCTAAAACTTGACTTTGTTTCTCCTTTGGCCCCTCTCTCCAATATCATACTATTTAATATAGAGGGGCAGTTTCTTCTAGTGTACAGCAAATACAAATATACAAACTATTCTTGCTGTTCAATCTGCTAATTAACTTCAAATCTGAAAGAATAAGTTTTGTAAGATTCAGTCACCCTACAAGTATTCATTAGTGTCAAGCATTGGCTAACGAATACAGTAATGAACAGTGGACAAGATCATTGCCCTCAAGGACCCAATCATTTTAGCAAGTGAGACAGGTATTAAATAAGTAAGCAAAAGTGTAGACTGTGATCATTGCTAGGAACGAAATAATCAGGGTGGTGTAATGGAGAATGACTTCAAAGGCAGGGACTCCTTAGATAATAATGCACAGGGTGTGGTGGCTCACACACCTGTAATCCTACCATTGTGGAAGCTGAGGCAGGAGGATCACTTGAGCCTAGGAGTTTGAGACCAGCCTGGACAATATAGAGAGACCTTGTCTCTACACAAAAACTAAAAATAAAAAAAAGTAGCCAACATGGTGATATGCTCCTGTAGTCCTAGCTGCTCAGGAGGCTGAGGCAGGAGGATCACTTGAGCCTAGGAATTTAAGGCTACAGTGAGCTGGGATCATGCCAGTGTACTCTAGCCTGAGCGACAGATCAAGACTGTTTTAACAACCAAAAATATATATATATATATAAATGTAGCTTATTTGCTAATATTGTTTAGCCTCTCAAAGAAAAATTAGGGTGGGAATGGTTACAATATGCCATCTTCCATGAATATATCCAAGTCTTTTAAATTCTACCTCAGGTTTGTATACTTGCTGTTTCCTCTGCCAAGAATGTGCTGCCTTCAACTTTTTAACTCCTTATCTTTCAGGTCTCAGTTCAAATATTGTCTCCTGAAAGCAAAGCAAAGCTTTCCAAAAAGCTAGTAAGGTTTATACATACCATGCTTCTGCAGTCATGTGCCACATAATGACATTTCAGTGACAGATCACATATATGATGGAAGTCCCATAAGATCATAATGGGTATTTTCACCGCACCTTCTCTATGTAGTGGCACGATCTCGGCGCACTACAACCTCTGCCTCCTGGGTTCAAGTGATTCTCCTGCCTCAGCCTCCCAAGTAGCTGGGATTACAGGCGCCTGCCACCATGTCCGGCTAATTTTTGTATTTTTAGTAGAGATGGGGTTTCACTATGTTGGCCAGGCTGGTCTCAAACTCCTGACCTCAGGTGATTCGCCTGCCTCGGTCTCCCAAAGTGCTGGGATTACAGGCATGAGCCACAGAGCCCGTCCCCTTCTGTATGTTTACTTACTATTGTGTTACAATTGCCTACAGTATTCAGTGCAGTAACATGCTGTGCAGGTTGGCAGCCTAGGAACAACTGGGTATACCATATAGCCTAGGTGTGCAGTAAGCTATACCATCTAGGTAGTGTAAGTATACTATCATGTTCTCACAACAAAGTTGTCTAATGATGCATTTCTCAAAATGTATTCCCATCATTAAGTGATGCATGGCTGTATTTCTTTTCTGTTGTTTGTTTTTTGAGACGGAGTCTTGCTCTGTCACCCAGGCTGCAGTACAGTGGCACCATCTCGGCTCACTGCAACCTCCGCCTCTTGGGGAGCAATTCTCCTGCCTCAGCCTCCTGAGTAGCGAGGATTACAGGCACCTGCTGCGGCACCCGGCTAATTTTTGTAGTTTTAGTAGAGACAGGGTTTCACCATCTTGGCCAGGCTGGTCTTGAACTCCTGACCTCGTGATCCACCCGCCTCAGCCTCCCAAAGTGCTGGGATTACAGACGTGAGCCACTGTGCCTGGCCTTTTCTGAATATTTGTAATTGATCTGTCTTAGTCTTCTGTTGTATCTGATTAGATGTTAAATTCATCCATTGAGTTAACTTAGTGACAGAATGTCCATTTGAATTTTTATAGATATGTTACTGTTGAAATTATCCACCTTTTCATCTTTTTAAATGTTTCCTATGTTAATCAGTAATTACTTTTAAATTTTTTTCATTCAGGAAGTTCCTAAATTATTATTTTAAGCCTTTTTCTGCAAATGCTAATCTTTGGATCTCCTTTTATTGTATGTTTTTTCCCTCTAGATTATCAGTCTATGGTTTTGTCTTTTTTTTTTTTTTTGAGACGTAGTTTCACTCTTGTTGCCCAGGCTGGAGTACAATGGCGCGATCTCGGCTTACCACAACCTCCGCCTCCCGGGTTCAAGCTATTCTCCTGCCTCGGCCTCCCAAATAGCTGGGATTACACGCATGCGCCACCACGCCCGGCTAATTTTCTTTTTTTTTTTTTTTTTGAGACGGAGTCTCGCTCTGTCGCCCAGGCTGGAGTGCAGTGGCGCGATCTCCGCTCACTGCAAGCTCCGCCGCCTGGGTTCACGCCATTCTCCTGCCTCAGCCTCCCGAGTAGCCGGGACTACAGGCGCCCGCCACCACACCCTGCTAATTTATTTATTTATTTATTTATTTATTTTTTATTTTTAGTAGAGACAGGGTTTCACCGTGTTAGCCAGGATGGTCTCGATCTCCTGACCTCGTGATCCACCCGCCTCGGCCTCCCAAAGTGCTGGGATTACAGGCGTGAGCCACTGCACCCGGCCTTTAATAGCCTCATTTCTTTTTGACCTTTCAATACTCACATGAATGCCTCTTATTAGTGAATGTGCCAGACTAAACTGGATAGGAAAGAGGATTCTGAGAAATGCAGTTCCTAGATTCTCTGCAATGCAGAGAAACCCTTAAAATGGGGGTGTTTGTGATGCCAAGTTGACAACAAACAATTCAGCTTAAAAAGGGCATTTGATCCAATGTCAGATTTGGGGCTACAAACTTTTCTTCAGCATTTTCATCACAGAAAACAACTCAAAATTTAGCAGTAAAACACAAAGCAAACAAAACAACTACAGCCTGACAATCTGTTAGTGTAATTC